AGAGATTGCATGATATGATTTTATTCAACTATTTCAATAATTTAGTTTTAAATATACATGATATACATTCATTCAATATCCTCTATTTTTACATGCTAAATTATTATTTAATCGGAATTTTATTGAAAAGGTACCGGACTAATTTAATGGCTGAAGGCGTCTTAGACTGTTTCATTTGATTGACTTATTTAGTTGATAAATTTTGCCAATATAATAAATATAGGATTTCATTCATATACATATATTATGGGAGCATAATATCTTAGTGAGTAATGACATTCGAAGCTATCTGTGTGCTAATATACATTTTATCAGATGTCAATGGTATTTAATTGTTTGTTCCAATTATATATTTGGCTAACATTATTCACTGTGAATGTGACTGATATTTTCCTATATGCAAATTAATTTTCACATTTGCGCAAATTTGCATAAATTTGTTTTTTGTTGTTTTTTTTTTTCAATTATAAAACAGTCTTTGAGTCAATCAATTACCATTAATCCCACGTTATACCGAAAAAAAAACATATTTTTGCTTAAAGGTCAATTATGATTCGAGATTAGCCTACAGTATATGTATTGTTAGGTAATATCATTGATTTAACCTTAAAGTATGGGCATAATTATATTGATGGGAAATAAGAGTTTTCAAAATAGCAAAAAAATGCTGCAAAATTATGTATTTTCGTTCTTCTTACATGCTTTAACATACCTCAGAATGCAGCTACGGCAATGTTGATTTTGACCAGCCTTGAAATAGTGTCTACACATTACCTTCTTTCAAGCTACGCCCTGTCAGAGGCCGGGCCGGACTATTGCCTATGGTACGCAGGGGTTTCTGGGACCTTATTTCTTAGGAAAGCCCCATGTGTTATAAATTGCTGTAAACACCATCTGTTTACCAGCTGTTACAATTGGACAAACGGCTTATTGACGGTTGTTTCTGATAATTTATTGTGTATTTTTTACAAAAATACGTAGATTTTTTACGCATTCAGAGGGATAAATCGAACCTTTGCTACATGGGCCCTCTGAGAACTTGTTTCATGCGCCAGCAAAATGTGTCTTACTTTGTTGTAGACAACAGCCTTCAGACTGTTGTGACAGACATTTTGCATTGGTAGCAGACAAACGTGTAGGAGACCGCGTTTTCTAGAAAATCGTGTATTTTAAAGAAAAGCACGAAGCTTTTATATGCATTCAAAGGGCGGACTGGCGCCGATGCTACGCGGGCAAACTGTAATCTTATCAGCACAATTCGTTATATATATTTGTAGGCAGTCTCGCATTGAAATCGAACAAATGGGCAGGTGAACAGATATTGTATATTTTAAGGATTAAACATACACTTAAGGACGGACTGGAAGCTTTCAGGATAATGGGAGGGTGACATATGCTTCATGAACTTTCTGACACCTTATTTTTGGGGGGGTTAAAAGGGACTTTTAATTGCTGTAAATTTAAACCTTCAAAATGAAGGGCAAACTGTAATAGGGAAGTATGCTTGAAATTAAAACGAAATGGTAAAAATAAATGTAGTTTCCGGGGTAATGGGTTTTTTTTAAGAAAATACGTAAAAATTATATGTTCACATTAAGGGCTGGAGTTTGGATTTTAATGGTCGTTTTTTAAACCAAAAACAAAGTATAAAAAGTGATGTAAAATTTAGCCCTTTTGTTGTTGTAGGGAGTTTTTTCCTTGAAATCAATAAACGGAAAAGGGGAAATTTTTTGGGTTTTCCCGGCCCAAAGTGGTTTTTTAAGAAAATCATTCTCTTTAAATTTTTTTTTTTTTTTTTAGGAAAAAATTTTTTAAAAAAAAAATGGGGACCGGGAAAAAGAAGTAATTTTTTAAATTTGGGCCCGGATTGGGGAAGGGGTTTGGGGCATGTGAAAAAAAAAAAACATATTTTTTGTTGAAAAAAAAAAACAACAAACTTTTAGACAGACACCTTTGGGAATGTGTATTTGCGTTAAGAAAATGATGTGGTTATTATACATTGTTGAGTACAATACTGAATTCGATTTGACGAGTACACAATTGTCTAACCTATATTGGACCAGGCGCTAGCCCATTTATGTAGTGTATTCACATAGTTGCTAAGAGATCGTAAACATGCTTTGCAATCGTGCTTTAACAAATATGTTTAATTAAATCCGTTATACTTTGTAAAAAAAACAACAACATGATACATGTTTTTCTCTATATAATATTTCGAGGTCTTAACATTTCTTTTATCTGTCATTTTTAAATAACAAATACTTAAAATACTTAAAATATCTATTACAAATGTTATTTCTTAAACAATGCATACTGACAAGTATGTTTTTAATCGTTACTCCATGCGTGCGACCTGTCTTATGTAATAATATCTGCTTTATCGCGCCTTTCAAAATTACATTCACAGTAATTACCTATGCATTCTTCATTTCATATCAAATAACATTGAATTTGAAATTTAAAGAATTACAAAAGCATATTTAACTGTGCGTACTTATGAAATAGAGCTACCATTTCAATCAAATTATCGTGACATTAAATATATGTATATTTGTATTTAAAACACGCAGTTTTACAAAAACCAAAAAAACTCACAATTTTGTCGTCAAAATATAAATTTCAACCTCAAATTGCTGATAGTCATCTTAGATTTTTGCTTGTCAACACCGCCTCCGTGGTCGAGGGGTTAGAGTCGATGACTTCTAATCCAGTTACCTCTCTGGCGTGGGTTCGATCCCCGGGAGATGCTTTAGTAGTTTAGCGCGGAGGAAGGTAGTCTAGTACTGGTGTAACTCTCCAGGAACGATGGTTAGGAAATTACCAGCCTATATGACTGAAATACTGTTGGAAAAAGGCGTAAAATGAATCAAACAAACAAACAAGACATTTTAAATAATCCATTCATGCAATGTTTGTTCCTTTCGATGAAATGTAGTTAACCTCTTATTTCAACAGACTTCATAATATTCATTAAAATCATGCGTTTTTATATGTAACAAGGAAGGGAGCATGAAAATCGCAGAGTTTTGAAAGCTGTCAAGATGCGGCTGTTGTAAATTCAGAATGTTTTAAACAGTATAATTTTTCCATGCATATGCATAGATATTCTTATGTAACGTATATGCTGTACGTATATGCAAATCGATATGTTTAAATGTGTAACTGTTTGAATGATAATGGAAATGGTTTAACAAATATTTGTAAACAATAAGACATCGTTTGTAAAATACCGATTAATGTGGGTTATTGATTTGATTTGTTGTTGTTGTTGTTTGTTTGTTTTTGTTTTGTATGAAAAACAATTATTTAGAAAAGAAAATATACGATGAGTAAATGTACTAAGTCAATTGTTACAAATAATGTAATATCAACTTTCACACAAAATTAAACACACACTATTAATATGAAAAGTTAAATACTAAATGTCCATACTATGGTAAGTACAATAACAGCAATATTTTATCACATTGTAAATACTTATTATTTGTAACTTGGGTGTTCATTTATACCCTGTCACGTTCTCTTGCCGCCTTCGTGGTCGAGGGGTTAGAGTCGATGACTTCTAATTCAGTTACCTCTCTGGCGTGGGTTCGATCCCCGGGAGATGCTTTGGTAGTTTAACACGGAGGAAGGTAGTCTAGTACTGGTGTAACTCTCCAGGAACGATGGTTAGGAAACTACCCGCTTATATGACTGAAATACAGCTTCAATAATGTTAAAAACATGAATAAAAATAAAACATGTACCACGCTGTCAAAAACTTATGAAGAAATTCTAATAACTGTATACGACTTATACGACGTTTAAATAAAAAGAACAGATTAATTTAATTTAATAAACGCATTAAATGCTTTTAGCAAAACTGTCATCTTGGTTGGCATATTGTCAACTGACAGAAATGTACAGCTTTTACCACCCGGCGCCGGTGCGACGATCGTCCGCTCTAGTTATGTATCGCAAATGATCCTTTGAATGCTTCCTGTAAATACAATTCGGCAAAAAAAAATTGTCCGGCGACCCACGCAAAGTATCAGATTTAAAATCACTCGTCGTCTGCGAGAACGTCAGATCCACCGATTCTGTAAAAATCGTCAAATGTGGGAGGCGCCTATCTTATTTTTTCGGCCTGGGCGTTAGCTCTTATATTCTCTGATATTCATTATAAACAATTGGATCGAGTACATTATTTTAGATGTAATGAAATGTCCGCGGGCTTGCTTTTTTATTATTTCAAAATTACCAACAAGACGATGGTAAAATCATGTCAATGAATGAAACTATTATAACAATTTTCCTTGAATAAACATGTTTAAATTTATCTATGATGCAATACAGGGTTTGATCTTTACAATATATAATGGTCCTAATATATTTATGGTCCTTACATTTTCTTTATCATTATACTATTTAATACAGATAATATTTCTCGATCAATGTAGTGTTAGTTATAGCTACTCTATGCGTGCGACCTATCTTTTGTAATAATGTTTGCTATATCTGGCCTTTTCTATTATATTCACAATCATAACCTTGATCTACGTATTCTTTGTTTCAGAATAAATATAAAAGAAATTTGAAATTCAAAGTAATATTATATTCCAATAGTAATTAGATAAAGCTTTGTTACAATACAAACTATTGTAACAAAAATACTTGCATTCTTATATTTAAAAATTTTAAAACTTTGGTATTACAATTTAACAAAGCCGTCACAATGCCGTCGTTAAAATATATATAAAGCCTAATCTCGAAGTTGATGATTACTATGTCAGATTTTGCTTGCCGACAAAAAATTAACAAAATTGCATTCATGCAAAGTCTGTGAGTTTCGATGAAACGTGTTACTGGTTAAACCGCTCCCTTTAACAGCTTTTATTGCATTGTATTCAAATCACGCAAGTAAATAAGAAGTAACACATAAATGAACAAATCACACAATTGTATTAGAAGTAATAACAAGGTAAGGAACAAATTACGCAATAGTATTAAAATTAATAACAAGGTAGGGAACAAATCACGCAAGTGTATTAAAAGTAATAACAAGGTAGGGAACAAATCACGCAAGTGTATTAAAAGTAATAACAAGGTAGGGAACAAATCACGCAAGTGTATTAAAAGTAATAACAAGGTAGGGAACAAATCACGCAAGTGTTTTAGAAGTAATAACAAGCTAAGGAACAAATTACGCAAGTAAAAGTAATAACAAGGTATGTAAACAAATCACGCAAGTGTATAAGAAGTAATATCAAGGTATGGAACAAATCACACATCTGTATTAGAAGTACATGTAACATGGAAGGGAACATTGAAATATTACTGTTTGGAAGACTGTTACGGCACAAATGTTAAAATACAGAGCATATTCATCAGGCATATTTTACGTACATTTATAACAAATGCAAATGAAAATGTTTGAAAGACAATGAGATATGATGTTATACAAGAAGTTGCACCGAAGTGTTACTCCAACCCTTATGCCGACGCCGAAATCAACTCTAATGCTGGCATCCGGGTACTTAGAATAGCGGCACTATTCTTCTATTCTTTTCATAACTTCCACAGCTGGGAATATTATCATCAAAGTGTAAAGCTGTCGACAACATTCTTTTCAGGTAGGTATTCTCAAAATAACTCCAATCCTTACATTGAAAATCGTACGTACGTACACAGGCACAGGCACACGCACGCACACACCAACACGCACACACACGGGTTCAAAGATTATTTGCATAAGGGTATTTAACGAAGGTTACAGAAAATACTCAACATAACAAGAAATAATTGTATGATTATCGCTCGTTTAACAGCTGAACTTGCCCTTGACACATCATCTACGGAGCAATATCTTTCCATGGATGACCATTGCTGGTTAATGACAGCCTGAAGCTGACTTGGTACTGACACTTCACGGATGTAAATAATCGTGTCTGGGTAGTCAACACCAGAAACCCTGTCAAAATTGATTGAAAGTTCTGACAGTATTGCTTTGATTTGAGCGTCGTCAGTCACCTTGCGGTTTATTTCAAACATTTTCCCAGTTTTCCCAAGAACTTCTTTTTGATACTTAAATCTTTCATCCACATAATTGTCTATCTTAAAGCCGTCCATGTCTTGAACGATTAGAAAATATTTACCATTTGCAAATCTAAAAGCTGGAGTTGCATCAGAAGACGTACTAAAGAAACCTTCCTCTACAAAATATTTTTTATTATGGAAGTTCCATGCAGTCATCCCTCTGTACAACTGTATATGCCTTTCCTTGGGAAAAACATCAAGAGCCTCATTAATGATGTTTCGTACTTTAACAAATGTTTCTCTGATGATTGGGTCTCTTTTGGTGTTTTTGAGGCACCTTATTTCTTTGTTCAGTCGGAATGGGAACGCATTTTGGGTCTTGTCTTGCTTAAGAAGGTTTTCATCTATATTGCAGATCCGGGAATACATGCTGATCCAAAGAGCTGCAAAGTGTCGGTCGCCATATTTCTCATTTACACTATTAGCTTTTTCTTTTGCGCTTTGGATGCATTGCTCTACATGAAGATTTTTTTCAACGACCTGTATTGTATTTTCCGCTCTGGTTTGGAACTCAGTTTTCGTAGTCTCTAAAAGAAAATATTAACCTTTATTATATCCTATTGATGCTTTCTTGCTTTTTGCAGGTCAAAAATGTAAATATTAGTTTTGTTTTATTCCTGTTGTTTTATAGAGGCATCCAAAATGATAAATATCTTAAACACAATGGCAGATGTTAGATTCTTGCTAACATAAATACCTACCCAAGCTAATATACAGTTTTATATTAAATATGCATCAAAATCGTTATGTTGTTATGGTCGCTAGTGTTTGATACAAGCTCACTAATTATATTGCACGAGAATGTTTGAACCGTTTACCTCTAAATGCGTGTTTTGGGGCTTTTCACCTCCCCCCCCCCCCCTTGAGGCCTCAAAGAGTGAAAAAATGCCCTTTATAGGCCCAAACACTGTTTTTCCTTGAGAAATGTTAAAAAAGTGATCACTTTTTCGGCGCCGCCCCTATCAAAAATGTACATCAAAGGGGGGGAGGGGGTCCAGAATATGTCCCCTTCTGTATGGGGCTTCTTGTGAGGGACTTAAAATGACCTCAGGTCGATCTTAAGGTAACATGTAACCAACCCTGAAAAGCCGTTGACTCTATCGTAATCTATTGAGAAGTTGCAGCACTTTGAAAACAGTTTTTATAGGAAAAACAACGCAAAATAGTGATTTTTGGCAATTTTGAGACGTCCCCCGTTGCCATGGTAACAGGAATTTTAAGATTGAGTATATTGTCACAAATGCTATGGTCTAGTCAACATTTTAGTCAAGTTTGATCAGTGTTGAAGCATATTTTGCAGTTTCATAGCAGTTTGAACTTGTAACATGAGGCTTTTCAATGAAAGCAGCTATATTTTACAATATGCTCATGCGAAAGGTTAAATCTACATTTGCATACTTAGTTAAGCCCATATATTTAATCGCACAATGCTAATGTCAGTTGTAAAAATTTGTTCATAATAATTGTATATACATGTATAGGGATTGCTTATAAAAGAGAATAAAGCAATTGTTTGTAGGTTTACTCATTCCATGCTTTTCTTTTGAGAGTTTGTATGTTTTAAAGTAGACAATTTTATTGGTATCATCATTTATTTTCGGCAAAAGTGTATGAAAACAACCATATTGTTCCGATGGAGTTGTTGAATGAATATTATGCTGAATTTGTATGGAAACAATTCGAAATTATCTCATCATATTATATCCATTCTCACATACACGTGATTGAAAATATTATTGCCCAACCAGATTGTTTAAATTTATTTTTTTCTCGTGTTTTAATTTCAATCAAACAATTTGTCATAAAATTCTATGATCATGTTAAAGTGAAATGGTTAATAATAGAATGTCTGTTATACAATAAACAATTATGTTGAAAGTATTTAGTATCATACGTGACAACAAATCATAAACGAACTATATGTATGGATGGTGTTGGAAAATATGAGATGCATGACTCAATATTACATATCTAAATACAATGTATGCAAGAGGCGACAAAATCGGTTCAAAAGCAATGCATCTCTTAGCTCTAGCAGATGATGAGGTTTTGACCCCTGGTATTGCTTTAAGTTTGTAACACCCAATATTAGCCAAAATTATACTCCCGGTTTCGGCGCCAAAATTGTGTTGATGCTCCGTAAAACAAAAACAAACAGAAAAATTACAGCTAATTAATTGTTATAGAAAGATATTACCATCAACCATATAAATATCCATAGTAATTCACTTTTTACATTTTTTTCTAAAGAATTTTTTATGATATCAAATAGATATATTTCTATCGTTTCTAAAACATCTTAATCACTTCTGAAATGTTCCAATTGCAGATAAATTCACTATTTATTGGCATTTCATACTAGCACTTTTACAATAGATTAGTAGTGTTTATTAAGTCAGCGTAAATTCAATTAAATCTATCGCAAGGTCGTTCCTCGCTAGACAATTAATTTCTTAAATGCTAACTATCAAACAAGATTCATAATAACAAAGCATAAATGCCTATATCATAAAATAAGAATCATTATCAAATATATTTACCATATCCCTTGATAATCAGCACGATACAAAAGATCCTTAAACTTATCCGACTAATTGCACCCATCATTCAATAAACTGGTCCAGGTGAAATGTAAACGTGTTAGTCTGTTTTATCTTTAAGTGGTAGTAAAATGTTTGTGCACTACGTGCGAGTGATCTAAAAAAATATATTGATTACACGCTTAAAAAAAGTACGGAATCACAATTTGGAAATCGCTTAAAAAACCATTTTTGGTCGCATATTTCAAAATAATACTAATGTGCAAAGTAAGTGAATGTCTTTTTGTCTGGGACCATCCGTCTCGTGCAAAGTTGCATATTACCTGTATAAACAAATATGTCACGTAGGATGGTATCATACTTCACAGGAGTTTCCAGAGAGAGGCCTTCCAAAAAATGTTTAATTTGGAATACGATTTTGTATGATGCATAAAAAAGTCTGTCAAATGAAAGGGTTCAATTGAAAAAGGCCTATTATTAGATTTTTTTTAAAGAAATAGCTATAAAAATAGGATAGTAACTCGCTTAAATTTTTTGCAATTTGTGTAATTCCTTTTGTTTTATTAATCATGCAAATTTTAAGGGGTTTTTTCCGCGCTGATTCAAATTAACATTCTTTGCATTTGTAAGAAATTACTAAATTACTACAGATAGTCTTTTATCTGAAACGTGTGAACATTTAAATCTCTGAAACTACTAGAAGTAAAGCCTAAATAGCTGGTATCTAGAATTTTTCTAGTTGGCCTAAAAAAAATGTTTACGAGTCGAATAATTACATTTCATTACTTTAAATTTTGAATAACATTACAGAAAGGCGAAGCCAATAAACGTTTCCGTATAAAATTGCAATATGAAACCGAAAGTTCGTGTGTCAGTGTTAAATATAGAAACGAATCATTGATCAAACATTTAATATACCTTTCCGAACTTGAAAATTAGAAGGATTTGGGTAGATTAAGAAATACCAAGTTACTTTTATACATGAAAGTAAAAAATATATGGGAATGTTTGCTTATTTAGTTTCAGGTGGTGAATAAATAAATTATGGCCTTTTCATTCTTATATATTTGATATTACATGATTTAAGTGTAATCCTATGTTTACATGAAATAACAGCAAAACATTTATTTTTAACAATACCATGCAAGTTCAATAATCCTATTTCAATGGTCATGACTAATGTGCACGAAAAGTGCCGAAAATACAAAATGGTATTCAAGATTATTCGTAAACATTGGTAATTGAATATTTATACATATCTAGGAAGTTTAATAAACCAATATCATAGGATGCGGCAACCAAAATAAGAATTTCCAACTATAAAAAATGCTTTGTTAACATTTCAATGAGTTTTCACTTACATTTTGTCTCGTCAATTCCAAAATGTTCTATCTTCAATTGTTTGAGAAATGGAGATATTTATACCATTGGAAAGCTGTTGTAGAGACCTACATAAACAAATTTGTTAGAACATTATATCTCTAATTTTAAGAACGGTAATACGAATTCAATCTTGTTCTATCTCAGAATGTAACCAAAACTTTGATTCCAATGTGTTCTATCTTCTAGACCAATGGAATGTTCAAGATCATACCACGTGACGCTTTAGTTTCGCTTTCAATATACACATTTGGATTTGATTTACACATGAAAAAATTACAAAATATGTAATTATATTACTTACCCATAGATAGGTATTCATAGATTTTGCATAATATATGTGTTAGAAACATTTATAATTGACTAGCCCAATATTTTTAAAATATGAATAAAGGGCCTATTAAGTGAAAGTCATTGTAGACTTTACCAGAAGTATGGATAACTATTTCGGATAAAGCTCATATACAGGCTATGTAAATCATTTCAGATGTGTTTCACACTGACGATAATGACATATCAGAAAAGTTACAATAATTATATGATGTGGTGACAGATGAAATTCTATCACATGTTGAACCTAATGAAAACCTTAGTATAAAGTAAAATGGTAAAACATATTTCAATCTAGACTTAGTCGAACAAGGTAGTCATTTTGTAGATAGTACAGATGAAAATAATAATACTCAACAGGAATTTGAGTCACCAGTATTACAAAGAAATGGCACTGTTATGCCAAAATCTGCTGGGGAAAACAACAGTGAAAGCCAGCAAAAAGTGTAAGTTACAAGATAATAATGATATTATGATTGAACATGAAGGAACTTCATCTGCAGCTCTACAAACGGAAAAATCCAGAAGTAGAAAACGAGTGAAAGATGAAAGTAAATGGCAAAAGAATATTAGAAAGAGAAAGTACCAATCTAGTGAAGAGAATATTAATTCTTCAGGTAAAATAAGTAGAAAGCATGAAGTATATTAAGAAGGAAAGATTGCATGCGAAATTGTTGATTTAAGTGCAGCCATTATTTTTCGAAAACTGATAGAAAGGAAATTTTGACGAATTCTGGAAATCAGATAAATTTAATCTACTTCTACTGAGAGATCACAAAAGGTTTCAAAAAGGCTATGACATGCTTCTCGGAAGAATTTTACATATAAATATTATCCATTTACAATAAATGATCAAATTAAATCGAGACTGTGCAAAGAGTTTTATCTACAACACTTGGCATCAGTCAACGAAGAAAACAATGGCACTAAAACAATATAATGAGCCCAAAACAGAAAAAAACAAAGACAAAATAAGATTTCAGAGGAAAGTTTGAATTTCATAAGGTAACATATAAAATCATTCCCACGGATGCCTTCCCATTATTGCAGTCAAAATTCGCGAAGAGAATACCTTGAATCTGGTCTTTCAGTGGCTAAAATGTTTTAACTTTACTCTGAAGAGTGTGAGAAAAGGGGAATTGTTGCTCAGAAAAAGTATACATACAGTAAGGTCAATCAGGATTTTAACATCGGTTTTTATATTCCGAAAACCGACAGTTGTGATTTATTTGAACTACATAAAAACGTCTTAAATGACAGTCTTAATTCGGAAACTCTTCAAAAACTTTAAAATCATCTAGCTGACAAAACTGACATAAAGTTAGAACGTGATCAAGATCGAGCAATATCGCTTAATAAAGAGTTAAAGACCATGCTACAGTTTGTTTTGATCTTCAAAATGTTATTCAGTGCCCGAGAGCAAATGTTTCTAATTTTCTTGTAAACGAAAGCTGAATGTGTATGATTTAATTGGTCATTGTTCAGAAAACAAAGGTGCTTATCATGCTTTATGGAACGAGACAACTGCAGGTAGAGTTGCAAATGAGGCAGCATCCGCCTTGTTGTGGATCTTGTCAGCCATTAAACATGATTTACAAAGTATTTCTAAGTTATATTGTGGTTGGACTCCTGCACACCTCAGAACAGAAACTCTGTAATGACATACGCTCTTAAAACCGGAGATAACTCAGAAGTTTTCCACTCCTGGTCACTCTTCTATTCGAGAGTCATATTGAAAAGCGGTTGCGAACATGTGAAGTGTATAACCCTATTAGTTTAGTTCGAAACTTAAAAAAACTGTACGTTGGAAAAATTCAATGAGAATCATCCAATTGCAAAACCATAACTGTTTTGATTTTCAGAAATCAAGCTCACAATTCAATGAAATTCCGTATACTAAGGTTATATCAAAGACCAAGATTTTTGTGTAATTAAAAAAGTAATTTCATGAATGTACCTACAAGTAGGTTAACATAGGTGGAGTCATAAGCACAAGTGTTAAAAAGACCGTGCTTACTTCGTAAAGCACCTATTATTTCATCAGATAAAGTGAAAGATATCAAAAGCATGTTACAGTATATTCCTGAAATTAAATATAAATATCTTAGGACAATTCTTAAAATTGGGGAAAGGACATCCACTGCGTATCAACAGAGTGAAACATTAAAAAAGAAGACGATATGATAAGATGCTCAAGGTTTGAAATTTAGCGTTTACAGAGCAAATGTGGATATCACTGACGTAATTTGTTCCTGATTTTATTGAATAATAAGGTCTTATTTTTCTTGTTATATTAGACCAGATAGGCTTGGGCAAAATTTATGAACTTTTCATTTTTTTCAGATTGCATGTAAAATTTATCATATTTGATCTAGAAAGTGAAGATACTTGTATGTAACAAAATCTAGAATCATGTTATATTCATGTCATTTTGACATAAAAAAAGTTGTTTTATTCCTTTGTTTGTAAATTTTGAGCAGAAATAAATAAAACAGAACATTGTGTTTCGTTTCGATTAAAATGTTCTATCGTTGTAGGACATTCTAGAATTAACTTCAAATGTTAAATGTTTGAATAAAAGTGCAACTTTTTTTTATTTTAGAATTCTGACTTCATTATAGAATTCCCTGAATATTTAGATAATAAAAAGCATACATGCTTACATGTATACACAGATGGTATGTACCAAAAATGAAGGTTTTATGTTGAATGATTGTTGAGATATGATACCTTAAGATTTTCAACTCGGTTTTCTCAAAAAACAAAAATTTATGTCCACTTAGAACATTATAGAATTGATGTCCGCGAGTTCAAACAGAAATTATTACAGTGTCATACATATCATGACATATTAATGCACTGCTAATTACATGCCTATAGTCGTGTTATGAATAATTATTTGTTTGCTTTATATAACCTCAGAATAATCACGATTTCTTTTTACATCAACAAAAAAGGCAGAGTTCGAACGTATAGAGATTTGATGATTTTTTTAAGCGAGAAAATTGGTACAAAACGGAGTAATGGCTAATTTAACTCTGTAAACACAGTGTGTCACGCATTTTCTCGAAATCATAGATTATATTTACGGTGGCTGCGGTTTCGAAAGGCGTTTTAAACGGATATATTTTTTGTTTTATTTTTTCGATATGATTTTTTAGTACAATTTTTATGTTAAAATCGTAATATTATGATAACTGTTATATTTAAAAAAAAGTAAACTTGAAGCGTTCAATTTTTTGTAATACATGTACTGTGAACTTAATTAATGCCAGAAGATCCGCGTACATTATTTTTACTTTGAAAAAGTGACTCAATTAAATATCCCTGGAATGTGTCTTTACTTTGATGTGCTGTCCATTACTTTTATTCCAAATATCAATGCAGGGATGTTGGAATAATTGCTAAGTGCATTCAATAAACATTATCTTGTTTAAAAATGTGTTCCCATATTTTTATGACAGTAATGTTATAACATTTGCATTTTTTTTAAATTTCTGATAACATTTATTGTTTCCTTTGTCCGCGAATTGTCAGGTCTAAACTTTCTCGTTTTTCATGACCAGGATCAGACCTCTGCACGTGCAAAAGATAGACATCAGAACTGGTTTTCTCTTTAAACAGGTCTATCCGAAAAATGTAGACCTGTCACAAACAATAGAGGAGGTGTGTAAACACTTGAATATTATTCGCTTCTAAAAAAAACAACCCTGGTTTACCTATTCAGACCAAGGTTGCAAACTTGAGCGTACACGAAAAAACAATGTAACGCCATTCCGTTTCACGAGGATCGTATACACAATCACTAGTTACATATGTGTGTGTATAACAAAGTTTACTCTTTTCACGATGGTAAAAATGATATCGCTGAGAGATAATGTGGCTTTAAGGATATTTTGTATACTGCTGATTATAAAAGGATATGGTAAATCTATATTATCATGATTCTGATTTCATTTCATTGATTATTGGGATAGACATTTGTATTATATATTCTTAGTACAATTTATTGTTTGTTAGTCAGCATTAATAAAATTAAGTGTCTTGAGAAGCACAACCTTGCGACAAATTTTGCTGAAAAATATCAAAACTTTCTTTGAAATTATTTTCAGTCTTTACATAGTGCGATATGTCGATTTTAAGTGAACTGGTGTATGATTAGAACATTTTCAAAAGTAATTAGAATATTGAAAAACGTATAGAGATGTATCATTTTTTTGGTATTGTTATAGAATATTTCATGACAAAACATCATGAACATTATATAATTGATAATAATATTTTGCTGTAGAAAAAAAACATTGTTTGTTTGGTTTTACGGCACATCAATACAGTATAGATCATATTGGGTCGAAACAGGGAAGAAGATTTTTTGCTAACCCCAGGCGTTACAAACACAAGGGGTCAAAATAATCTCACCTGCTTCAACTAAGAGATTAAAAGACTCCAATTATTCGAACCATTTTTGTCGCCTCTTACATATCCAGATAATTATGTAATATTGGTCATTTTCCAACATTATCCATACATGTATAGTATGTGCTCTGTTAATGTTTTGTGCTATTTTAATTTGCATTGTGGACCTATTTACTTTAACATGGTAGTATTTTATGGTAAAATTGGTTGGCTTAATTAAGCATGTCAGAAATGAGATTTGAAACAGCTGATTTAATTAAACATGTAACAAGATTTGCAAATTGAAACAACCTTTTTGGAAAAAAATATTTTCAATCACTAAGTGTCTGTGAAAATGGTTATCTCAAAATATATAAAACTGTATACAAGCTTGGGTATATACGAGGATTGTTCAAAAAGAAAAGAAATGCAACTCTACTCTTCACATATTTATTTTTAACTTTCGCACACAATTTTAAAAGAAACAAATATCGAACATATCCTATAAATACAGTGCAAAATCATTACAATATGCTAATACATAACAATTCTATAACAATTCTAAAATGACAATACTTTTTTGTGTTAAGCGACCCGGAGCACGCTGATGATAAATAAATGACGTTTACAACGTGACAACAAAATAAATATAAAATGTAACAAACATCATTATTTCTGGACATACTCGTAATTTTATCATGATATATATCGTATTTTACCAGAAAAAGAGCAATGAAGTGATTACATAGCTTATCACTCAAGCGCGCGTATCTTGAATACCACAACACGTTGTAGGGGAACGGGAACACTAGCTAGAAGACCTAATAAACATTCTTCTACGACCTTCCTGCGTTTTCAAGTGAACATAACAAATTACTCTATCATAAGAAAATCAGTTATAAATAGAAGTTAGAAAGAAGGATAGGCGGTCATATACATTAGAAAAAAAGATTAATACCATAATCCGTTATTTGCTAATGTTTAATATACTTAATTATGTAGTTTTCTAAATTATGTCCATTAATATATGTCAACTCTATTCAAAAATAACTAAATTGACGATGTATACTATATGTTTCCCTCCTCATTTTGGGTGAAATGGTCGCGCTAGAAATCGCACACAAATACAATGTAATCATGCAAATTTAGAAAAGGGAACTGAGTGAGTCGCTACATGTTCACCATTGGATCGCTTGTATCAACGGAGTTTACTTTAACTAGCTTCCTCGCTAATGAGAGAACAAAGGCTCGTGCGCGGTTAAAAATTTAAATTATAAGAATACGATCACGCTGTCTAATTTGAGCAACCAAACGTAGGCTTTTATTACACTTTGTATATACATATATATTTATTTTTCCGTCTTACAATTTAACAAAATGTCTAGACATACCGGCAGTGATTTGATCATATTATGAATAAGTTTTAATTCGAGTATTCTTAGTAGCGGCAATAAGTCTATTTTGTGTAGATTCGAAGTGTTACATATTATATTATTACGAAGGTGATAAGGGTATGGTAAATAATTTTTAGCCTCCCTTAAATTTTGATATATTCAGTGGAAAAACAATAGATATTTTCTTTCGCGAGAGGGAAAATAGCGCATATTGTACAATTTGTAGCTTAAGAAAGTTGGCATAGCTTTACATAATTTGAAAGCAATGAACAACAAGATATGCAGGGAAATCATCTCTGAGAAATATCTATAAAATATATCTAGTTTAATAACATAAAATCAAAACAAATGATAAAAACGGTGACCATAATTCTAATATATCAACCCTTACAGGCAAACCCTCAGTCACAAAAGATGGCTTTCTTCGGAATATGTGAACAAAAATCGTAATTGTAATTCATATTCAAGAACTTGGATACTTTAAGCAACCATTTTCACTGATCCTCATCATAAATGACAACCTGTTTCAATCCAAAATTAACATATTGCCAAGGTGGTAATTGCAACTGATAGCTAAACTCAATCAGTTTTCCGAACAATCACAATTTACATTATTTACAATTACATACATGTATAATGAGCGTATATATATATTTGGCATAGGTTTCCATATCAATTATTGGAGATGGAATAAGATTTTAGGCTCTTTTGAAGTAACCGATCCGACAGGTATTGGCCTAAAACTGTATAATTCAGAAAGTACCTGAAAATAACTCTGCATCTAAGCTCTATACGTCTTCTCCTGAAGGTTGTCAGACAGCTGAAAAAGCAGATGATATACAGTGTTCTGTTGTCGCAAGTCTGGTGACATGTTCAAACGTCCAAACAGATAGTAGGCAGCAGCTTTATATGCCAAGAACCCCAAATGCACTTATTACGGTATCACATTATTTCAACTTGAAATGAACCTTGCGTATAAATAGCGCAAACTTTTTAAAATGACTTTTTATTTGAATTTTCAATCTTGCCATATTCGATATAATTTGATAGGAAAAAACAAACACGTCTGAATATGCAAATGAATAGTTTACCTATTATAAATATCCGATCTACATGATCTTAGTTCGGCTTAATTAAATGCATAATATATTTATGGGCATCGATCAAGTCTTATGTAAAAAGAGTAACTTCCTGCTCATCGATTAAAATGGTGCTCCTGAATACATCGACGCTCAATTGAAAGTTACTCGGCAATTTTACACGTGGACTCTATATGTATTTTCTCGTATGTATTACTTCTAATGTAAACAACATTTGGAACATAATAAGATTCTACGATAAGTTAAACGAAATTCAATACGCATGACATCCGAGTATTACTAGCAACTAAAAATACCGATACAAAATTTAAATTGCCTTATAACAACATATATTTTTTGTTAGCAAAATTTAATTTCTATGATTACTTAATGAGTCAAAACTCTCAGAGATGCCTTGGTTCGAATACTGATTTAAATAACTATTTTCAACTTTTAAGATATTTTTATTTAAACTCGTTTCTGTTTTTACGCCTTCGGCGTTCTGGCGTATTCCTGGCTACGCTATCATTTTCGATATGAACTGGCAAAAAAGGATTTTGCCGGATGTGAATTTGTCGTAGGAAGATCTGAATCTCTTTCAAAATTCATCGGGATTTTATTCCGTTCAAAAGTAAGTGCAATTTCTACTCCATGTGACTCGATGTTCTTGTTGCTTATTATTCATTTTTTAAGTTTTACATTATGCATCATAACTATACTGTTACATATTGTAGATCTAGCTTTGTAATATAATCATGAAACGACCCCGAAAACCTCAAACATGACAAGTGCTTTCTACTGTTCATCTTTGAACAAATGAAGAGTACTTCGGCAATGGCTACGGAAAATAGACAACAGAGACTTGCGGTAGAGAAATGAAACTTTGATAGACACTCTAGAGAAAAATCCTGAAGGATCTCGAGTGTGACTTTTTAAGTAAAAATAAATGGTTTATTTTTTTATTCAACCTCGTTTAAAAATCATACCAGGCAAAAGTTCATTTCCATTTTAATGGGATAAACTATAAAATAAAACTATCTTATCAGTTGAAAAGTGTTCTGTGTTAATGGGCACAGGCCACAGGTCATCTATTAAACAAAATAATGCTAATATATGTAATTACCGTTTATCGTCATTATAATAATATACTGATTTTACGTTTATCTGGTTACATAAAATATCGATTAAAACACATGTTTTATGTCAGAACTGAATGTGTGGACCCGATTCAGGCAGCAAACATGTCGAACAGTTCCAAGACTGCTACCTGCGTTGGATCATTTTGTACCCCTTTTGAAATTGACGTCACTAACGTCCCATCAATTTGTCCGCTTTCTTCCTTGGCATTCCTTGACAATAAGCTCTTATTCGCAGTCTTGCAACTGCTTGCGCCAACTTAAAACTGATATTCTGATGTCCGATCAATTGCCATTTGTTAATTTTTATTAAATCTTTTAGTATGTAGCTGAAGAAGTAACGCAAATCTGTTTGGAAAATTTAACGATCGCTCACATTTTCAGTCTTCAGACGACGCTATATTTTGACATTTAACGCTATGACACCTGCTGTTCGAAAATTGATGAATTAGCTATTTCATGCCCGAATGACGTCAAATTTCAACAGTTTGCAACTGATATGGTTGAATGTATAACAGAAAACACATGATGAAAGAAGTAGAAGTAAAATTATCCCCAAATAATCTATATTTTATGGAATATGAAAATTTCTTCCTATGAACAATCCTCGTTTTCATTTTGTTTCAATATATTTACAATGATATTATAGATGACTCTCTAGAACAAGAGGAATAATGATAAATGATGTCACAATGTTTAAAAAGCTCAAGTATCATTTACATTTGACCGATAATTTAAAAGGTCGGTAAGGAATAAAAAGGTAAATATTTCTTTATAGAGACAACGAAAAGTCAATTCCAAATCTTAGCTGAAAATACAACAAAGATCGTGGAACGAAATCTTCATGTACAGCAATGCATCCAAAGCGCAAGAGAAAAAGCTTATAGTGTAAATGAAAAATATGGCGACCGACACTTTGCAGCTCTTTGGATCAGCATGTATTCCCGGTTCTGTATGATAGATACAAATTTTCTTGAGCAAGACAGGATTGAAAATGCGTTCCCATTCCGATTGAATAAAGAAATAAGGTGCCTCAAAAACACAAAAAGAGATCCAATCATCAGAGAAACATTTGTTAAAGTACGAAACATCATTAATGGCGCTCTTGATGTTTTTGGTATGAAAAGGCATGTGAGGTTGTACAGAGGGATGACTGAATGGAAATTCAATAATCAGAACTATTTTGTAGAGGAAGGTTTCTTTAGTACGTCTACTGATCCGACACCAGCTTTTAGATTTGCAAAAGGCAAATATTTGCTAATCGTTCAAAACATGAACGGCGTTAGGATAGACAAGTATGTGGAAGAAAGATTTATGTACCAAAAAGAAGTTCTTGGAAAAAGCGGCAAGATGTTTCAAATAAAACGCAAGGTGACTGACTATGCTGAAATCAAAGAAATACTGTCAGACCTTAAAGTTAATTTGGTCAAGGTTTCTGGGGTTGACTTCCCACACACAATTGTTTACATAAGTGAGGTTTCAGTACCAAGTGAGCGGCAGTCTGTTATTGAAAAGCAATGGCCATCTATGAAAAGCTATTGCTCTGTGGATCATTTGTCAAGTGCAAGTCATGCCTTTAAACGAGCGATAGTCATTCAGTTCATACTTGTTATGTTGATTTTTTTCTGGTAACCTTCTTTAAACTCCCCTATTCAAACCCGTGTGAAATTATACTTAACACGTTTCAGTTGTTGCCTAGTGTCCTACTTAATTTGTCATCCAATGGAAACGCTGTATTTCTTAAAAACCATGTGTGTAAATTTTCATAGAAGAACAAAACTCGATACTTTAATAGATGCCTTCTATTTTACATAGTGCTTCATAGAACCACGTTTGTGAAAATAGTTTTATAAAAAGAATTATAAAAGTCTATAAAATTTCATTAATTTTTGTTACTTCTTATCTATATGCGATTGTTTACCTTTCAGGTCACCTCTTATACAATATACACGTGCATGATTTGTTTTCTTCCTTGTTACTTCTAATACACCTGTTTAATTTTTACCCTTCTTATTTCTTATACACTTGCAAGATTTGTTACCTTTCTTGTTACTTCTTATACACTTGAGCGATTTTTACCTTCCTTGTTACTTAAATACACTTGAGGTTTTTCTTATCTTCTTTCCCCCTCCTTGTTACCTCTTATGTATTTGCGAGATTTGTAACATTCCTTGTTACTTCTAAAACACTTGCGTGATTTGTTCCCTTCGATGAAACTTTTTAATTAATTTTCGTGATTTGGTCTTTTCTTTAATAATTGCGTGATTTGTCCCCTCCTAGAATTCTCTGATAAACTTGTGTGATTTTGTATCCTTTATTCTTTCAAATACAATAACGTGATTTGTTTCCTTACTTGTAACATCTAATACACTTGTGTGGTATGTTACCACCCTTGTTACTTGTTATTTTCATGCGTGATTTAAATACTGTAAAAGTGGAGAAATTTTACCAATTACATGTTTCGACATGGACTCGCACTAATATTGCATGAATGCATTCTTCTTAAATGTTTTGTTTTAAGCAAGCTAAATCTTAAAGGGTAATCATCAAAATTAGACAGACTGTATGTATTTAAACGAAGACCTTTTGTAAATTTATTTTGACTGATGTTGTTTTATATTTGAAAGGATGATGAATTGCATTATCGCGTTCCATTGGATTGAGTTATGGGTATCTTGGGGCAAAGTCTCCAGTGCTAAAAATATTTTCACTTTCGCCCATAGCGCCTTTATATATGGACAGATGTCTTTCATATTTGGTTGGAACCTAATTTGCATGTTTTTCCTTTCGATTGAGTTATGGGTCAGTGGGTCAAGGTCAAGGAGGCTAATAATAGATTTCTACACATTTGCTAAAACAGCCTCTTTTTGACTGATATTTTTCATATTTGAAAGGATGATAACTTGCATCCTTGGATTGAGTTAGGGTCATTTGGGTCAAGGTCAGCAGTGCCAAAAACGATCTTTACACTTTTTTAAACAGTTTCTGTTGTTGTGTTGATGAAGTTGAATATATTTTAACTTCATCACAAGTCATAGCAATGCCTTTCCAACTTAAATTTTTCACAATTACAAAACGCTATGACTCTGTCAAGTAATATAACTGTGTTTACATTTTTTTACTATTTTCCCTCCTTAACTGAGTGAATGGGTAAACATTTTTTTAAAATATTGTAAGTGACAAGAATCTGAGCCGGGGGGGGGGCATTTGTGTTTAACAAACACGTTCTTTTTAAGAAATTAAGGTCTATTTTGTTACGTAAATTTCAACTAAATCAAATATTTCCTGTAAGGCTCTTTCGTCACACTCGGTGTTAAACATATATGCATTCTGAGTTTAAAATTAGATACAATTGAAGAAAATGTGTTTTATGCACTAAGGCTTATTTGTATGGTTAGAATTTATGCTTCGTTAATTCCACATATAATAAAATACTGTAATATATGTTCTTAATTTCCTTTCATCTTTTATTTGTTAATAATGTTCTAATTTTTTAATCTTAAATTAATACTTAAATTTGCAGTGTTTTTCTTTCTCATTTATTGTTGAGTAGTCACTGAATATTTCATTTCCCAAAATAACCTGTTTCTTGCAAAAACAAGTTACCTCTCAAAAATCCCTATGCTGACCCTAGTATCTTGACTCTCACTCGTGAATGCCCTTAGAAACTCTTCTACCAGTATTTATAGATAATACCTTATTTCTCCATATTTGGAGGTTACCCTTGTGTTAACAGACACACATAAGCCTTCTATAATTATGATGGCAACTGTTGACCAGGTTTACCATACCAGAATCAAACAGACAGATTCCCGGAATTTTTATGATGGTACCAATGATTGAGTTACCTTAACTCAACAATTGTATGCCTCTTGTTCAGAATTAATAAAGGTTACTGTTGACAGAATAACCATACTACAATTTTACAGACTGGCACACTATCTAGCCCCAACAGATTTATAGTAATAAATTATGACAACAAATGAGGTCTAAACTCTCATACAAACTCAATCATAAAATCAAACCTTAATCAGATGCATTGATTAAACTAAACAGTATTAAACAGTATGCATTTCTTGTTCTCAAGTATTTTTTGTCTTTCTTAAAGTATTGTGGTCTATGTAAAATAAAAAAGAAGAAAAGAGTGCACACTAAAATATATGTATCGAAATGCTGTATGCTACAGAGAAATACCAAACTAGACCCAAATTATCTTTGTTGCCGTAAAAATAGGAAGATATCTGTCGTTTATAGGAAACGAAGATGACATAATACTAAGGGGTATTTTTGTGACTTTGCCTTTGATTAAAAATGTCATTTTCTGACCTAAACCACGAATTGGCTAACTCCTTTATAAAGTTACTTCTCCGACTATTATAAGGATATACGTATAAGACATTCAGACATATGTACAGACCAACCACCGCATGAACCTATGTTACCCACTTGTTAAATTGGCAAATGACAACAGAAGAAATCCATTAAAGGGTAAAACACTAAATATTGCATTTTTAAACAAAGTAAGAATGAGGTCTAAACTCTCATACAAACTCAATCATTAAATCAAACCTTAATCAGATGATCGGTTAATGTAACATTAGCACCATGCATTGATTAAGCTAAATAGTTTCCAGATAGAAAGTAAGAATGAAAATACCCTACATACTTGTACAGTAAGTGTTGTTAATGTTTTCCTTTATTTTATCGACTTAAAGCGGTCTTATATATAATGCCGTTAATGACACAACTGCATGAAAGTATGAACTGAATTATTTTTATAGACAAAGTAGAAAGACAAATAAAGGCAGTAGGTCCATAATATTAAAATACCTTTGGTATAATCTTTGTAACAATATCCAATTTTTCTTATTTGAGTGTATAAGACTGCTGCAAAAGGTATCCGTAAATCAGTTTGTAACTATGTTATACTGTTGCATAAGAAAATGGTAATTGAAGCAAGCCTACAGTCTAAAGCAAGTATTAATTTTGTTCTTATTAGCCTACAGTTTTTAGCAAGTAAATTATATCATATAAATGGTATAAACTATAAAGCTAAAAAAAGAGTATCAGAAATAGACATTTTTTTTATAATTGTCTGTTTGAAGTTTAGACGGAAAATGCAGAAATGATAGGATAAGTACGGAAGAGCATTAGTGCCAGGTGTATGTTTTTTATTAACTCGAAATTTCGAGTTAGTAACTCGAAATTTCGAGTTAGTAACTCGAAATTTCGAGATAAGTAACTCGAAATTTCGAGTTAGTAAGTCGAAATTTCGAGTTAGTAACTCGAAATTTCGAGATAAGTAAGTCGAAATTTCGAGTTAGTAACTCGAAATTTCGAGTTAATAAAAAACATACACCTGGCACTAATGCTCTTCCGTAGGACTTTATGTTTGGTGGTTAAATTTGTTTCCGCCTCAGAGTTTCCCATAGAAACGTTCTTTAAAGGCTGTTCCAGTGGGTTGAAAAAACTGTCGTTAAATCTACGTTGCGTAAAAACATTTTGAGAATAACGAATTTTGAAAACGTTGATAAAACTTTGTTTATTTTATTTCACTATATAATTTTTTAAGCGAAATACAAATTATTAAAAGTGAAATAAATGTAAAACTTAACTCGTTTGCGACATTAAAATAGCGTACTTGATTTTGCACGTGTTGTTTGGCGCTACATTGTGACGTCACTTAAACAACACTTTAAACGTCTGTACAGCGTTAACGACTGAATTAAAGAGACTGGTGTTCGGATTCATCTTCTTAGTAAGACCATTTTCTTTCATTTTAGATAGTTTTCACAACAAAATCCGACAAAAACTTGTTTTTATTTATCAGATTTTTTAAACAAAATGGCGCCCTCAATGAGAAAATACACAGGGAGATAATAAGAACGGCGAGTGCATTGTTGTAGAATAATGCACGCTTCGGGCCTTCTTTGTTTATATTTAAGATATATTACGATGCTTCAATGATAAATGACTAAAATCGACGGGTTTTCTGAGTCTCTTTCTTTTTTTTATCGAAACAGATAATAAATGTTTCAAAGACATATGTCAATTTTTTGAAGATCTCCTCTTTGATTCCTTCTGCTACTGCTGTGCTGTGGTATTGCTACAAAACTTGATCCTTCAACGTAAGGACCATTAAGGCCTCAACAGAAGGTAGGATTTTGCAGTGCAACACCAATTAAAACAATGTACAAGCACATCATACTGTGTGAAGGCTACTATTTCTTGAATTCATACACTTAATACTAGATTTAAAGGATAGGACATGTTCTATCTCTTAATACTTGTTGTATAGACCTCTCACGATGACAAATGACATATTTCCCAATTATCCCATGATAATGTGTTTAATGAATGAAATTCCAGAACAATTAGGGCTGAAATGTAATTATAGTAGTAAAATAAGGTAAAATGATGTTGAAAAACTCTTCAGGAGGCCCAAAGTTGTGGCATGTTCGAATCCCAAATTATTAAGAAAATGATTATGTCACGGTATTGAACTGTTCACTAATCAGGGGAGGTAGTTTGTAAGCGGCTGGATACCTCAGTCAGTAGAGTCGCAGTATGGTATTCCGAGGATCCCAGGTTTGAAGTATGTAAGGGATCAATTAGGAGGGAAATGATTTTAAGGTTTTAGCCTAATGATTTCTAAAGTCTGAATGCAAGTGTTCTATTGCTTTGAAAAGTGTACATCATGTCTCTATTTGTGTTGTGGTCTTTATGGCCAACTAGTGATGATTCTACTCAGTGGACGTATTAATGGGATATATATACAGTTTATAGTGATATACTAGTAGCTGATAAGACCT